GTATTTCCGCTGACCGTTATGACCGTCTGTTTTTAACGGGCTGTAAAATTTGGAGATACTATTAAACACTTTACTAAAGAAATATTACTTTAGTAAAGTTTTTAATAAAGCGAACGCTTAGATTGTCATCAGGAGTTCATTGAAAGAGATCTCAACTCATTAAAAAAGACATTTCTCTCAAATGGATATCCGGAAAAAAATGCTTGATAAACTTTTCTCATCCACAAAAAATGAGCAGGACAGGCTTTTGAACCAACTAAGTGCCCTGCGTTGACCAAACTTCTATGGACGGGTAAGGCGTCTAATGACATTAAGAGGGAAACTAAGAATATTACGGAGAATTTGTTTTTTGCGAGCAATGTTATCTTTATATTTTCGAAAAGAACTATTCTACCACCCACCCCCAAAGAATCTCTACCGGCGGAACTTTTAAGCAATGTAATTTATGAATATAAATGTGAGTATGATGCTCGCTACGTATTTAGAATGTCTTAAAGGTTAAGTGATAGGATCAAACAGCATGTACCAACTTCAATTAGAAATTGAACAGTCCCCTCAAGACAACAACCGAAACGTGATTGTAAGAAAAATAATTTAATTTCATATGAGTGCGCGATAGGTAAACATCTCTTGAGTAACTCCGATTGTGCTGATTCTTATTCAGACGACAACTTTATAATCAATAAGAAATGCCGTTCATTCTTGTAGCTACGCGTCATGGAGGCTGTTTTAATTAAGTTAACCAATCCCGTCCTCTGTCGACAAAATGATTATGTTTTCAATTTATCCTTGTTTTGAGCGTCATCTCCCCTTTTGGAGATGACGTACACTCTTTCTTGGCATTATAAATATCGGTAGAGTTTAAATTTTCATTTAGCAGATGTTGACACTTGAGGAGTAGTCTGCCGAAATGCATTGTGTCGTTTAGTTTATAACATTTTTTTTAGAACTATTGGGTTAGTGCTCTTTACTTAAAACAGTTCTTTTAAGAACTATTAACTTATTACTTTTACTATTCACCATGGTATTTGCGATCTTTAAAACGATTTTCAGATTTGTCACCACCACAAAGCCTCTATTTTATTATTTAAGAAATCGCAAATGTATAACAACTCACAAATAACCAAAGCCTACCTTATTGGCTTTTCTCCTTTGGTATATGAACATAAGAATAACAATTAGGACCAAAATAATGCCAACGACTGAGACGTAAATGCTCCACTGAGGAAATTTACTGGTTTTCTTGTTTTCTTGTCTCTCAGCAGATGAGTAAGGATCAGACAAACATTGAACTTCGGTGTTTTTTTAACAAAGCGCATGCGTCAGTGGCTAAGATCAAATTGTAGTTTGGTTTCTCGGCGCATGCAAACACGACTTTAGTAGATTTTCCTTCACTCATGTAAAGCAGTAACTCCACATAAACATTACTGAGTTTTACACTGCGTCTTTTTCTTGAAACAGCACTTTCACCTGTTGAGAAAATGATTGAAATTGATTCAAACAAACTTTTAATGGATGTTCTTTCATTTTTGCACATTAGAATAAAAAAACATGGTTGTCTTGAGCTTCTTTTGTGCAAACTATTTAGCAATATAAAGAATTTGGGAGGATATGTATCGCTTCTCCCTCTGAACTTTGTATAGGTGCAGCACAGTCCAAATATTCAGTTTATTAATCATTGTATTTATTAGCAATCGTTTTACGTAATGCTATAAACTGCCTTTTACTAAGTCAAAATTTTTCTCTCAGCGAAAATTTCAGAAAATTCAATCCCACCTTCAAATTGCTTCACAAAATCTTTCAGATTTTCTCCATTGCTAGTTCCCTCAATCAAATCTTTAACATAACTTTCAAACGTGGAAATGAAACCAGGTTTTTCAAAAAATGATGGAGAAACGTTGGCTGTGGCGTTTATACGATATTTCTCATCAACACACCTAAAACGTCATCAGGAAAAACTGTCAATACTCAATTTATTTGACAAAAATTAAAAAGATGAGAAAGTGATGTAGTACACTTACTTTCCACCAGCTTTGACGTTTGATAGACAGAATTTTGGCTGAGGACAGGAGGTACAAAGTTCACTGTCACGACAATTGTCATCATTAGGAACTGAAAAAATATTGTTTTATTCATTACTACCAGCACTGACATATGTCATCTTGTTTCTTAAACATTTTATGTCGTGTAAAGACTGTTCTTGTTCTCTGTTATTCATTCATTACTACCTACACTGACATACGTTATCTTATTTCTTTTATAGTTTTTGTAGTGTAAAGACTGTTCTTGTTCTCTGTTGTTCATTCATTACTACCTACACTGACATACGTTATCTTATTTCTTTTATAGTTTTTGTAGTGTAAAGACTGTTCTTGTTCTCTGTTGTTCATTCGTTACTACTTACACTGACACACATTATCTTATTTCTTTTAAATTCGATGCAATGTAAAGAAAAGTTAACTTATTTTTGTTGTCGTAACATCTTTCAGTTTGTTTATTTTACCTTGAATATCAACGTCCAAGGTTTTAGACAAGATATGAAGTGGATGTAAGGTACTTCGACATAAAATAGGAACATTGTAGGATCGATCTCCTCGACGAAATATACTTTTCTTTATGTACAATTTCGGTGGCTTGTCTTTAACATAAAAATGATCATCCACTTTAATAGTATTACTTAAAGTATCCTCGCCCTCTTCAATATGACAAGTATATTCAGATAATTTATCGGAATACGGCTGCAGATCAAGTGTCTTTTTTAAACCACATTGTAGTTGAGGATAATCCAAATCTTCGATTAAAATTTCACCAACAAGTAAGCAATCTTGATTATCGTGAGGTCCTGTAAGACATATTGATGTCGGCCTTTCGTTGATATCTGTATAAAATAAAAGAAATGTATTACTTAATGTAAAAGTAAATTTAACAAATCGTTTCTCAGCGACAGATTTAAATAAACAAAGTTTCATGACAACTAAACGTAGCAAAGAAATCTCTATGACCCCTAGAAAACAAATAAGTCTTAAATCCAGTAGTATTTACAAAGATCCGCCCGTGGAACCACCTATGTATACAAATATCCACGAGTAGGTCAAACAATGAACACATAGATCCAGCATTGGATCCACTGATGTATACAAAGATCCAGCAGTAGTTACACTGATGTATCTAAAGATCTACCAGTATGTCTATCAATGTACACAGAGATCTACCAATATGTCCATCAATGTTACAAAGATCTACCGTTGTGTCCATCAATGTACACAAATATCTAACAGTAGATCCTCTGAAGAATAAAAAGATCTACCAGTACACTCACTAATAAATACAAAATTGTTCGGTATTATTTTTAAAACAATATATATCTTCTACCGATTCCTTATATGTATTCCTCTACAATTCCTTATATATAAGAATATCATAAAGTTACAAACACAAATACTTTCAAACGTTAATGGCATGTCATAGGTTTAAATTCGACAATAGTCTAAGCAACATCTTACCCAAAATCTTGATTAAGAAAATCTTTGTGAAAACTGCAGATTTTATTACACGACCGCTGACACGTATCGGAATAGTTTTGTCTGACGGAAGACGTTCATAATCCAGACTTTTGTCCTTTTTCACACTCAAAATATTTCCATTGATCTCAAAAGGAGGCAAAACCCCGTCCTTGTCTTTCAGAATGTGAAAGGTCACCGAATCCTTCGGCCCGCGCGCAGGTACAAGTGAGAAGTAGCCAATCACAGAGCCAGAAGATGCGTTCTCGTGTATTGAATTAGAGCTTAGTTGAATATCCAGGTTTGTATCATTGGCTGAATGAAAAAATAAGTTTCATGAAGATTTACGAAAAGTAACAGTTGACATCTAAATCTACATAAATTATTCCCTACAGTTTTGAACATTGTGAAAACGTGTCAGGATTTAGAAAGTTGAAAAAAGTCGATTCATTTTACACTACCGGCAAACTTCTATTATATATAGTCCAGTGTCACAACTTCATTGTATATAGTTCAGTTTTACTTACTCGCAATAACAATGGTACAATTTTTAATGGACTGCTTGATTTCATCAGTTTTGATCTGATATGAGTCATTTAATAGTTCCAGTACTGCTCCGTCGTCTTCAACACGGACAGAAAATGTTATTGATTCGTTGTGTAGTCGAGGAGAGAGAGACTGTGAAAATAAAGACATGAAATGTTAAAAACAAGTTGGTTGAGTATAGTTTATTTTACAGCAGAAACGAAGCTCCACAATCAATATAAAAACGTGTATCCAAAGTGGAACTTGATGTATATAAATTTTAAAAACGTGTACCCAATAAGGAACTTGATGTATATAAATTTTAAAAACGTGTACCCAATGTTGAACTTGATGTATATAATTTTTTACTTTCTTTTATTCAAACAATAAAATTCAGAGGAAGGGGGGGGGTCAAGCTGAATGCTTGATTATTTTTGCACTTACAAAATTTTCGTACAGTTGCCAACTATAACAAGGTCAACTAACCTTTTTTAAATAAATTAATCCATCATCAGTAATATCAAAAGCCATGATGTCAAATTTTCTCTTCCTAAACTGTACTGCAATAATTGTTTTTGAATTTCTGTTGAGCCATCCTTATTTTCTCTTTGGGACTTATAAAAGCGTTCGTTGTCTGGATCATAACTTGTCACCAGTCCAATGGCCGAGCCAGGTGAGAAAGACGACAACACAATGAATGGTGTATCGCATTGAATCATGGGATATTCGTTCGTGTCTTAAAAACAGCATGAAGTGTATGTTAACAAAGTTGAGACAGTATATACCGTTTACATGTAGTTTGGACAAGATTAGCAAAAATTGAATGTACACTTGTTAAATCGGATCCAAAATCTCACTTTTATTGACGTTTGCATTTAGAGTAATAGAGCTCCTTCATTACCTTTTAAATTGGATAAAACCTTAAAACGCAACCAAATACATGCTAGAGTAGATGTAAATTTAATATAATTTTACCTATAACGTCAATTCTGAACTGTCTTTCGATAGAGTTTTCACGATCATTAGGATTGTCTAATATTTCCTCACATTTTATGTTGATATATATCATCCGCTGGTTTTCAAAATCAAGTGGACGAAGAGTCTTTAAAATTGGAGGATTTGAGTTGTTGTCAATATAGAAAGAAGCGTTGTTAATGGTTGCCCTGCTGTTGAGTATTCTACAGTCAAATCTCTGGCTCACATCTGGATCTGTGATATTCAAAATTCCCACGAAGCTGTTATTCATATTTTCACGAATTTCTTTTCCAATCAACTCCATCATTGTTGGCGGTTCATTTACATCTGTAAATATTGACATACTTTCTTTAAAATATTAGTCACATTTTTCTCTCTTCTCCTAAATTTAACTTTACCTTTGACTGGGATCACAAATAACTTATTGATACTCATCCCAAATTCATCTTCACAACTGATATTTATCTTTAAAGATTTTGAAGAATCCAGACTTTCATAATCTGTAGGTCGTGGACCGACAAGCAAGGTGAGCAAGTCTAGTTTCACGCGATCCTCGCTGGAGTCAAGAAGTTTACATGAGGTTTTTGTGTTTTTATCCTCATCAATCATAACGACATTGCTGATAAAGATATTTTCAACGCTGTTTTCAGTCAATGAAGAATCCTTTCTTATTTCAATGTCCGTGGGTGCATCATTTACGTCTATAAAAAAACAAACACGAAAATAGTTCATTTAAAAATGTACTATCGGTTATAATATATCACACACTCAGCAAGTAGTTTCATAAACATTCCCCAAACCTTGATGTCTACTGCCACCCTAATCATACCTCCTGCACACTTGCTTATTGTTAAATTAGAGTTTAGCATAAAGGTGCGATCTCCCAATCATTCCTGAACCTACTTTGGCGCTCGTTTTTAATGTAGTAATTAACCCTATAAGATCATTTTCATCCCAGTATGACACATATTGTTCCCCAGTAAACTAAATGATCTCAAACATTTAAAAGTTGTCAATAGAAATGTTCTTTGTAAATAAACAAACCTAGAACAGTTATGGTAAAAATTTTTTCAAAATGCAATCCACCGCCATCAGTAACAATAACATGCACCAATAAACTTGGTGTAAGCTCGTAATCAACTGATCCCAAATGAAATAATTCATCATGATTGGTTCCACCAATGAGAAAAGATGCAGTATTATCAGCAAGAGTGTAAGTAAAGGATTGATTGGAGCCATCGGGATCTTCAGCGGTTAAAGTACCAACATACGTCGTGTTAGGAGAGTTTTCTTGAAGAGTTGAGTTGGATAAATAAAGAGATGTTGGTGCTTCGTTAACATCTATAAAATAACATTTGACGAATACAATTGAATATTAAAAGTTTTAAACGAAAGCATAAAATAAAGAAAAAATAAACACTTAAAGGAATAAAACAATGCACAAATAAAGTGCAGCTTTGATTCTTTTTTGGCCTTAGACCACAGTGCAAAGTTCAAGTCTTCAGGTAAACACTGATCACTGATATATAAAATGAGCGATTTAAAAAAATGAGTTTTTCACCACATTTAAAGGGACATCAGGCCGATAGTGACATAAGTATATAAAATAAGCATTTAAAAAATAAAAAAGACAACAACAGTCTACAGGATAGTTTACCATGCAGCGTTAGTTAGAAATGTTTGCACAGCACACGTTATATGTATTCAAACATTAGACTTACCAGTGATAAAAATTTGGAATAATTTAGAAATACTGAAGCCAGTATCGCGACAAGTGACAGTGATATTGTATGCATTTTTTCTTTCAAAATCAAGACGGTCATTCCATTTAACTCGAAGAATATTGCGATCAGTTTCGTGAGTAATGTAAAACTCATCTTCGTCACCATTTAAAGAGCTCTCGAGGGAGCAAATGTGGATCTGAGGTGGCACACTTTTTACGTCCGGATCTTTCACCTGTTGAGAGAAGTTGTTACTATAAGACAAATGTTCCACGCTTCATTTTTAACACAATTATACGTTTGCACTAGGGACCAGTTTTCACTAAATGAATAACATTGGATATGAAATTCGTTTTGTTGAGTTTCTTGAGACAGTGTAAAATTTAAATATTGTTTTAGGTGCATGCACGTACAATGAAAACCGCAACAGTTCAAACAAATACTTCAGAAAGAACATCTATAATTGAAATATGGAAAACATTGCCTTTCATTGAGGACCATCGAGCAATTTCGTACAACTTCATAACAAACAATAAATATAAGAAATCAACACATTCAACTCACCAAAAACTCTCCAATCATTGTTGAAGAAGGAGAATTTTCCGCTGCAAAATTTTCAGTCATCAAAATATCCGTTGGAGCTTCATTCACATCGGTTACTTCAATTCGAAATTTTTTACGCGTCACTCCCCCCGGATCTGTGACAGTTAACCAAACAATGTACTCATTCTCCTCTTCGTAATCAAGAGAACCGTTTACAACAAGGGGAGTTGAGAAAATCTTAACAGATTTGCCATTTTGAAGACGATGGTCAATTTTAACACCTATAGGGAAAAAGGAAAGGTTTAGCAGATGAAAAATTGAGTTGACAAGCTGTACAGGATCCCATTAGAATTTTCTTTAAAGAAAGTATCTCCTTTGCCTTCATACTAAACTATTTCATCTTCTGTTTGATTTTAAAGTCAGAAGAACTATCAAAGTAGATTAGGTGAGGCAGTCTAAGTTATTGCAAGAAAGTACATAAGAAAATCAGAGGTTATAAATGTAAATCTTAACTGGATCTCATACTTTTGCTCGTCTAGAAACTTGTTTCACAAACAAACCTTGCAAAGCAAATTTCCTACGAACCATAACATCGCTTTCTTTCAATTCAAATTTAAGCGTGTCGTTATCGTCATCAATCGCTCCGAAGTAGCCAACGATCGAGCCGAGATCGGAATTTTCCGGCACCTGATTATTTGTCAAATTAATATACTTTGGTGAATCGTTGCTATCTTGTACAACAATAAACAAACTTTGGATAGACGAAGATTTAGGTGGGTTACCGCTGTCCGTACATTTTACTTTTATACGATGTACATTCTTTGCTTCGTGATCAAGACTTTTCGCAACAATTATCTGATGACCTAAAAGCTTAAAGTAACCCATATCGGAGTCGACGAGCTCCCAGTTAAAATTTGAAGTGCGTTTTTGACCAAGATCATCATCTCTAGCTGTTAGATTACCAACAACAGAACCAATCTTGACATTTTCAAACACTTCGTTATTTGAAAGTTTTATGTCGTAAGGAGGATCATTAATGTTCAACACAGTAATTCTAAAAGTTTTTGTAGTAAACATAACAGGTGAACCATTATCGCTTACTTTGATTTCAACTGTGTAGATATTATTTGATTGGGGTTTCCACACCAAACGTTTCTTCGCCAACAGCAAATTACCTTGAATAAGAAAGTAAAAATTTGCCTCTGCGTTCACTATTGTGAACGTCAGTTGATCATCTTGAGGATCGTTTGCAGTGAAATGGCCAATTCTGGAGAGAATTTTCATTTTCTCATCAATGACAATGTTTGAAAAGAGGATATTTGAAGGTGGATCATTAACTCTCCTACAGTAGTAGGGAGAAGTATTTGGATTCCAGTCCCAAACCACATTTTTATTGTTTCCGTCTAAAGAGCACACGGTTATTTCATTGGGTGCATTGAAATCTGCCTTGTGGAAGTTTTCAGCAAAAGTTTTACTGACGTCTGGTGATTTAATCACAGCAAGCTTAAAGTTTCTGTCACAATTGATGGAACAGGATTTCATAAACTCAAGCCCGTGTGGACAATTGATCTGTGCAGGCATGCAGGCTATTCCAAACTCGTCATGATATGCAGTTCGCGGGCATTGGCGTGGAGTCAGCGGTGAACATGATTTAGGTAAACAATTCCTTGAGTTTATAGTTGATGGTTTATAACCAGGTAAACAATCACACCAATAACTACCATCTGTGTTTCTACAGTTGGAGTTGATACAACCACCATTTCCATTTTCACATTCATTTATATCACCACATGATTTACCATCAGCTAAATGAAAGATTGGGTCATACAAAACTTATGTTTGAAGAATTACAGAGTATAAATCCAATATCTCTATGCTAACTCCAAGTAAATTCAATTCCTTTCTTTATTCAATAGTACATTTTGTTGTAGCTAAAATCCTTTGCCAACTGGAACAAATTTCAATTTTTAATGCTGAAGGATAAATCCTAACGGCTCAAATTTTGTAAGTCGTAAGTGTGAATTTGATTCAACACGCAAGAATTTGAAAAATGATACGTGCAATACAGTTTCAAAAGTTCATCACGAACAAGTGGCTTAATTACGCAACTTTGATATTACTGAACTAGCAGTTCGTATTTATATTAATCAGTACTTGTTTTTCAAAGTATTTAATCACTGCCGAACGATCTGTACATTTCTGTGTAAATTGTAAAGAATTAATAAAACTGCTAATCCTTTCGTAGTGACCTAATATACGAAATTGAAAAACACCCTCAATAACTCGAACACCCAAAAAATTACATAATCATTACCTTCAAGTTTGTACCCAGGACGACTTACACAAGAACACGATCCATCAACAGGGTTACAAATGTCACCACACCCCCCGTTTGGTGAACCACATTGACGAGACTCCACTAAGTAAGGACAGAAAGAGCCTCCGTAGGCAGGATACTTGATGATATGACGACGACGAGTAATTGTTCCAATACCACATTTTGTGCTACATGCACTAAATTGCGTCCATGCTGTACAAAGGGAAAAGAATATCATATAATTCACTGCATGGTTTATTTTTCAATTGTTGGTCAAAACTCATAAATTATATAAGACAACAAAGAATGACGTGTTAATGAAGACTGTACTGTAAAAACTGATGTTTCGGTTGAATCGAAAAATTAAGATCTACATGGGTTTTGCTGATATGAAACTCTGGTAAGATGCAGAACACTTCTTAAGTTTCCAATATAACACTCCTTCTAAGCCACGTCATTTTTGAATTTTCATTGTCGAATAATTTATTCATGGTGAGTCATTTAGATTTCAACCTTTTCTTTCAACAAATATAAGCAACAAATGTGATTAGTAAACGTAACAGCATATGACTCAAGGAAAGAACAAAGACGAGCATGGACGATGTAATGTAGATTAGAGCCTTAGCCTTAATCACTCAATTACGTACACAACATCGTGCGATGTGATCGAACGATGCATGAGATATATTGCTCAACGAAGCATGAGATATGTTGCTCGGGATAACAGTGTACATGTTTACGTAATGAACAAATTAAGAACTTATAAAAGGTTATTTCATTTTACGTGCAAAAAATCGCTAGAAGGAAACGGAAAATTGAATGCGACTGTTAATTTAAAACGAAAAACGATGAGCGTTTCCTATTTCCTGTAGATCTAAAGTGAAAGTAAATTATGTCAAATATCTTATCTGGACTGTGGAATACACAATAATATTATTAATGTGTATTTGTAAACTTCATTTTTCTGCCAGTGATTTATCGTCATCTACTATTATTTCTTTCATCCAAAATCAATGTGACACTAAGAGTTATCGATCAAAAAATAATTAAACGATCAAGGAAATGCAACAAGAACGAGGATGCGCACATTATATGTTCCTCCGGTTTCAAATATCTCGTAATTTTCAAAATTGGTTTGTTTTAGCTAATCAAATAGACAAAACAATAGATAATTGCAACTAGGATAAACTATGTTCCTCTGATTTCTAAGGCATATTGAATCTATATAGTCAAACACGCCAAACACTTGACATCTTAAAACTAACATTTGAGCGCAATTTCGAATTGAATTTCAACATTAAGCATTGGCATCCATGCTTGTTTAAATTAAGCGATGAACAGAATAATCTTACATACTAATCCACAATGTAGGAAGTTGCCTTGATGTAAAGAAATTATAGATACACTAAGTAATTCGTGTTGGTATACACGAAACATTTTCCTTCGTGTAAAATAAAACCCAAAAAGAAACTTACGTGAAACTCGACAGTTCACTGGTGAAGGAGGAGGTCGTCTTCTTCGTCTTCTTCGCCACCAATGCGATGAAACCAAGATGAAATGAAATATCAGAAGTAAATAAACAACGTGGAAGAAATATTTCAACAACATTATTATTCCACGGGAATTGTCGTCTTCACAGGTCAAGAATATTCTTTATATAAAATGAAAGGAGGTTAAGTTTTTAAGGCTTGGCCAGGTTATTGTCTTTTGTCTTTGACTGACTAAAAAAGCATTGGTTGAGAAATTTATGTTGTGTAACACAATTGTTAATGTTTAGTTTCATTGCAGTGTCATGAGTCAGAGTGGCTGTGTTATTCAAATTAGACATCCCACGCAATTATAAATATTAAAGCAATATCATATTGGTGATTTGTTTTTAAATTATCCTGAAGTTCATTAAAATGTTGTATTTTCCGAGAATTTCGACCGAAAATACGACATCACAATGAACGAAATAACGAAAGAGGAAAATAAATCAGAACGCGTGAAGGGTAAAACAAAAAATAGTACAATTTAATGCCGCGCTACCTGTAGAGCAGATAGTGATGAATGAACAACAGAGAACGAGAACATTCTTTACACTGCTACTTGTAGCAAGGCTTTGATGTTTATATGTTATTAAAATGACCTGTACAACAGAATACGAGTTTTTAAATGTATGACCTTTATTAGAGGGAAGAATCTCTAATGTTTTATGTTAAAATGACCATGACGAAAAACACGGCATATGTGTCAAAGCATGAGGAAATTCCTCAAACGGAGACTCCTCTGAAATGGCTGTGTCGACACAGCTGTAACTTCAAATAACCAAAAGAAATAACCTCTCTGAAGTGCTCAATGCGATTAAAAGGTTGACTTCAGGTGTGGTAATGTGAGGACAAAATTTGCATAAGTCCATATTTACTGAGAAAATTACTATGCGCCATCACAGGTCAAATTCTGCATAAATTAATAAATACTCTTGGCAGAGATTGAATTTTCATATTTTGAAAGAAAAAATCACACGAGACCAAGATTATTTAAGTCTTCCAAGCATTTGTCCATCGTGTATGACCGTGTATCAACAAAACAATGTCAATATCTGTTAAATAATGCATGATTAGTTTGAGTTAAGTGTTCTTTTACGTCTCATGTGATTTTTTCTTTGAAAATATGAAAATTACATCTCTGCCAAAAACATTTGTTAATTTATTCAAAATTGAAATTTGTCCACGGTAATTTTCTCAGTAAACATTAATCTTATGGAAAATTTTTACCTCTCAAAGTAATTCCTCCAAGCACTCTTTCTCTTGCTGTTTTTTCAAAAAATATTTTTACCATTTTTAACAAGGGTAATTTTCCAATATCTCTCTTCTCGCGAAAAACTATAACAAAACTTTAACGGCTTTCGGCAGTTTCCAGTATTTTGAGCAAAGAGAGTTTAACCACGGATTACTGATATACAGTATAGTAGATTAAATAAAAGTGCATTAATAAATAATCAGATTTACGTATGAATTTCCGAGTGGAATTCCTCAACGACATGGTAGCTGCATTGAGTTATTTTCATAACGCAACTTTAAATTTCCCATAAACGACCAATTTCAGGAATAATAGACGAGGTCATTTACTTCCCTACCTCAGCGAGATCATCGCCTCTGGATTCAGGTTTCTAGTTGTTATAACTAAAAATGCTCATATTAAATGATAATAACACAAAAATTTTAGAAATTTTTTTCATAATGGTACACATCCGTATTATAGATTTAAGACGCAATAAGCAGTATGTTTATTAAAACGAAGTTACTGCTGGAGATTTTTTGTTTTACCACTGTGACTTTACCAAAAACGCATTTTAAAATGCATTAAAACAACTTTTCTAACAAATGAAACGAGAAATTAAGACGTGTATTAAACTAAACAGAACGTATTCTGTAATTTAAGATAATGCAAAGTTCACAAGGTCAGTGAGATCATATATCGCTTTTATTGTACTTAACCATTCATTTCCTCAAGGCCAAAACTTTCTCTAAAGCCTAAAGACGACATTATTTTGAAGAGTTTTGAATCTTCATATAATGCTGTCGATATCACTTGCATTATCCGTTTCGTTTTTGGCGTTCTGCGTGTCTTCGGCTCTAGGGGAAAAAGATGTCAAACTATACAAGCGTTCAGCGAAAAAAACCGGGCTTTCCAAATCATGTCAAGCCACAGGTAGGCTTTCAAAATGTTGAATATAAACATCATTTTAGGGACTAGAAATCAAATATTTGAAAGAATGAAAAACTTGATGTAAAATTTTCGTTGTGTGAAATACATAAATTAGTTAAAATTACATCACAGTCAACATAATTTTCGTCGTGCGCAAAGCCCGGAATAAAAAGATAAAGGAATTTGCTTTGAATGTAAAATTTAGATCTAATTGATTGTAGACAGATGCGTCCTTGTAGGGTAACGTTGCGTGAAATCGTCAGCGAGTTAATTTTTGATGAAAGAAATGTATAGACAAATTTTTGGCTGTTATTTTGGTTGTTATAATAGAGAATCGAAGATAGCTTAGATAAGGTCAAGTTAATTTATTCGATCATGACAAACTTAGAACAAGAAGCTCCAACGCAGCTTTTTGCATTTCTTACCATAAAACTTAGTAGTAAACAACCATTATTTTACTTGCTTTCTTTACGATCTTCATTTCAAATCACTTCAGCTGTAATCTCAATTATTACAATTTAATGTTATTCATGGAAATGATTTTATTGCATAAATTATAAAGGTCGGCCGTCAGTGAGAACTGTAGAGCTAACACCATCACCAAAAATGCGATTAAAGATGGCTCAAAGTCCGTAGGCTTAGATCGTCGTTTCATATTCATGCATATCTTAGCGTACACTTACATGAAGTGGAGTGAAACTTTGCCAATCGCTGGCCATGGATTTGGTAGTTCAACGGCAGATATTATAACTTGGTTACAAAACGAACGGTTTATTTATAACCCTGAACCACCGTCAGCCAAACGATTCACTAATGTATATGTAATAATAATGACTTAGGAAATCAATCTGTACTCACCATATGCATATATACATGTTCACCAAAAAATTCTTTTAGTTCCCCTGCTTTCTTTTCGTTTAAATCCTGGAAATAACAGAAAATCTTAGCTCTCAGTAGATCAGCACTGCCATTACATAATTCTCACTTAAGACATAACAGCAAAATGTTATCTGAGACTACAACTGTGACCTTGCACGTAATGATGCAACGATGTTAATAGATGGTGTTAAATCATGACACGCTGTTATTGTTATTTCAATGTCTTTACTGGTAAAATCAACTGGTGTTTGTTAATAAAACAACTATCCAGTCGTTATTACATGCGTCGGCATACAACTATTTCATTGAACTACTTATTTCTGGGAAGAGAGGTCGCCTTGTGTAATTTTTTACAGAACGTTTCGTCATGTGCGTGAGCATCTTGATTGTCGTTTGAATCTGCATTTTTACAGACCTTAATGGGGATTTTTTTTAAGGGTTGCAAAAAATGTGACTTTTCAATTCGATGATAACTTTCGAGCATACTCTCCATGATTGCGTCCATATAATTTTGAAAAAAAAACATAAAAAGAACTCACTGTGAAAGTGGTGGGGACAGTGGCGTAACTAGAACGTTAATTGGGGTGCATGTTCATATATTCCGTTGTGCCCTACTGATTTCTTTTGAAAGTAATTTGAATTTCAAAAAAAATCAGTAGGGCACAACTGAATATATTAAATACACCCCACCCCCCAATTACCGTTCTAGTTACGCCTCTGGGTGGGGATCTAGTGTAAGTTTTGTTTATAAATTACTAAAGAATATTGAAAGCAAAATCTTCCCAATAGGATTTGCTCTAATGTCATTTAAAATGGAAATATCTTTTCAATAATTAATTCTGACCTACCTCAGATCTTCTACTGCGCTGTGAATCAAGTTAGACTAATTTTATTCTTTCTCAACAACTTCTTTCACATTTTTTTCTACTAAAGAGTGAAATGAGACAATTTTTAAGATTATTATTTTGATTCGTTTACGCTTTGAGACGTCAACCGACATACGCCAGAGATGTCTCTATGTCATGAAAGTCATAAATCAGATCGCGTCAAACCAATAGTCAAAAAATCATGGTTTTGCCATTGAAATGTTCGTCTTTGTTAAATCTTAACATTAAATGATCTTTGAATTATAGTGGATATACGGTTTCCAGTGTCCAATGTTGGAATTTTACTGTCCTTTTTCAGTTTTCAAATGTTATGTCACTTGAAAGATACTATTTAGACTGTAAAAAATAACGACATCTTTTCAATATGTTCCTTAATCGGCAAGGACTTGCAGAATACTGTGATAATGCATGGTTTTTCAAGTCATCACCTTCTAAGTTGTAAAACAATGTACTAAAACTAGACCTTTTTTGACATTTTATAACCCTGAACCACCGTCGGCCAAATGATTCACTAATGTATATGTAATAATAATGACTTAGGAAATCAATCTGTAATCACCATATGCATATATACATGTTCACCAAAAAATTCTTTTAGCTTACCTGCTTTCTTTTCATTTAAATCCTTGGAAATAACAGAAAATCTTAGCTCTCAGTAGATCAGCACTGCCATTACATAATGCACCCCGTGTGCCATAATGTGGCATAACAGCAAAATGTTATCTGAGACTGCAACTGTGACCTTGCACGTAATGAAGCAACGATGTTAATAGATGGTGTTAAATCATGACACGCTGTTATTGTTATTTCAACGTCTTTACTGGTAAAATCAACTGGTGTTTGTTAATAAAACAACTATCCAGTCGTTATTACAAGCGTCGGCATACAACTATTTCATTGAACTACTTATTTCTGGGAAGAGAGGTCGCTTTGTGTAATTTTTTACAGAACGTTTCGTCATGTGTGTGGGCATCCTCCTTCTTATTTGAATCTGCATTTTTACAGACCTTAATAGCGATTTTTTTAAGGGTTGTAAAAAATGCGACATTTCAATTCGATGATAACTTTCGAGCATACTCTCCATGATTGCGTCCATATAATTTTGAAAAAAATACATAAAAAGAACACACTGTGAAAGTGGTGGATCTAGTGTAGGTTTAACGCTGTTGTTTATAAATTAGTAAAGAATATTGAAACCAAAATCTTCCCAATAGGATTTGCTCTAATGTATTTTAAAATGAAAATATGTTTTCAATAATTAATTCTGAGTTAACTTGGATCTTCTACTGCACTGTGAATCAAGTTAGACTAATTTTATTCTTTCTCAACAATCTCTTTCACTTTTGTTTCTACTAAAGAGTGAAATGAGACATTCACAATTTTTAAGATTATTATTTCGATTCGTTTATGCTTTGAGATTTCAACCGACTGACGCCAGAGATGTCTATATGTCTAATTTTAGAATTTTACTGTCCTTTTTCAGTTTTCAAATGTTATGTCACTTGAAAGATATGACTTAGACTGTTAAAAATAACGACATCTTTTCAATATCTTCCTTAATCGGCAAGGACTTGCAGAATACTGTGATAATGCATGGTTTTCCAAGTCATCACCTTCTAAGTTGTAAAATAATGTACTAAAACTAAACCTTTATGACATTTTAGTTTGGTCAACGTGGAGCAGCTGTGTGTTTTGTGATTTTTCTTCTGTAAGTAAACGAACACGAAAGGACGGTAAATGTTCAACGATTACAGAGACACGTCCTTGTAGAACTGGAGAATGTGAGCACAACTGTCATGAAGACAGTAAAACATGCAGTTGTTATTCTGGTTACTATTTAATTAATGGTAAGAATTTTATAAATCTTTTCTCACAGCAGTTATAACCCAATTTCTTAAAAACTTGCTGAACGAGTCTCAGTTCTCTGACTTTGAATTTCGTGGTTAGCTGCATGCTGCAACAGCACAGAGGGTGAAAGTTTGTATTCAAGTACTTAGCTTTCGTCCGCGGCAAAGTTTACCTAAACTCACAATGACATTTAACCACAGCAAGCAGTAAATATTTGCATGTTGTAATCACGTCGTACTAAATGAATGCTGATGGGATTTAGACTTAAATTTGGATAGACTTAAATAAGAGCAAAGCTATCGAGAATTAGAAATACCCTTTTTTCAAAAAACGCTAGAAAAGGAAGTTCAGGGTGTTATTATTTATAAGATCGTAAGATTTGGAGAAGCACAAGGCATCTCTGTATTCTTAAAATGTACAGACGGGTTTTGTTTATCATTCTTCTATACTGCATTTCTTTATTAATACACTGGCAGCAGAATTTTCTGACTGTTTTTAAAACATTGTAATGGACATTCCACTGGTCTTATTGTCTTCAATGTTTTATCAACTAAACTACAAGATAAACTGTAGACTATGATGATATTTCAAAACACAGTCCTAGTTTCCTTTTTCGATTCAGGGAGACCCAACCACCAGTTTATTTGTTTTGTAATGATTTACCACCACCTTATGAGGAACAAAATAATCTTTTATGTTGTAGGTAAGAATTGTGCAAACATCAACGAATGTCAAACAAAAGGTGGTCGAGGTCCTTGCAGCCAATACTGTCATGATGTACCTGGTTCTTACAAATGTTTTTGCAAAAAAGGTTACCGTTTGAAATATCCAACCAAATGCGAATTACTTGATTGTGGGAAGCCGCAATTTTCAAACTGTCCCCCAGTTAAACGGTCCACTGCAGAAGAAGATCACCTCAATATATGCAGCAAAGTGAACGTGTCATGTTTAAATGGCACTAAATACAATGCCGAGTGCTTTTTATCCTGTCCAAAGTACTATACACTTGCTTTAAAGCGGCGAACAATAATATGGTCAGATTACTCCAGATTTGAATTTCCGAATGCAAGCAGCAAAATCATTTGCCACGATCTAACACCAAGTATAGGTAAGTGGCATTCCCGAATAGACGACTATTACTGCAGGCGTAGCAATGATCCACCAATGGAAATCAAGCTTGTCGGCACAAGTGTCAAAGAAAAACTTCCACCGGGGAGTGTGGTTGGGAAACTAAGTACGAGAGATGAACAGCTCGACCAAGACATGATCTATTCTGTGCGGAACAGTTCTTATTTTAGATGTAATGGTTCCATTCTTGTTACCATGGTAACACTCATATGGGAGGCAAGTCAGTCCAACTCGTACGCAGTTTTCATCCGAGTGCAAGACAACGGTATGCCATCGATGTGGCGGGAAAAGAAGTTTTTAATTTACGTTGAAAACGTGAACGATGTTCCACGTGATATTGAGATTTCTAGGAATTGGGTTTACGAGAATGCCACGCGTGGGGCAATTGTGGGAGTTTTGAGTGCTATTGACGACGATTTAGGAAATTATAGAACGTCAAACTTTTCATGGAAATTATTGAAAGATAAGACAGATAGTTTTAATATCAGTGGAAGCAATGTCATAGTAAGAAGAAAATTGAATTATGATGTCGCAAAACTGTTTTACATAAAGGTTTCTTGTTCAGATGGTTTTTCATCGACTGTTCAAAATATCCCCATTTATGTTATAGAAAGACCAACATTAACTTTAACTGGATCTCATATAGCAGAGAATTCGGAAAGGGGAACCGTTGTTACAATGATTAAAGTTGAATCTGAAGGTGACAGAGATATGAAAGTAATGATAACAGAATCAACTCCTAATGCAACGCATAAACTTAAACTAAATCCCGATCCAAGATGCGTACGTCACATCAAAATCATTAAATACAAAACGACATGCTATGCAAACATTACGGTCAGTGGTCAATTGGATTACGAGGTCGCGAATGGTTACTTATTACAGATTTACGTCACAGATGGCGTCCTCAGTAATTTTGCAAAATGGAATATAAGCGTGTTGAACATGAATGAAAAGCCAACGGAACTAGAAATAAATGGTTTACAAGAAATAGCAGAGAATACGATAGGTGGGACTGATATTGGGTTTTTAATGGTGAGTGTAATCATTGCTGAGCTTTTTAATCTACGTATGACAAGCCAGTTCATCTTGATAAAAACTTAGCAAATGAAGTTAATGTAAAATTTGTCATATGGTTATGGGCATTGCACGAGACCTTTGTCAGTACACGGGACCTACGGCAGTATATGAGACCACAGCAGTACACGTGACTTACATTAGTACTTGAGACCTATGGAAGTACACGTGACCTACGTCAGTTCACAAAACCTAGGGCAGTACATGTGGCATAAGGGGCAGTATACATGAACTACAGCAGTTCACGTGATAGTACCACTAATCTACAGATAGACATAACTTTACAGATTTTAGAGGCTTAAAAGGTTCATCCCGATAGAATTTTAAACATGAAATTTACTTTTGTTTCCCACTGTAGAAAATTGATATAAACTTATGACCTAAAAAACCCACTTAAGGAAGTAATGTGTTTTTATTTTTTTGAAACTTACCAAGAAAGTTAATAAAAATGTTTTCAGATTTCGGATCCAGACAACAAGAACAAAATAACTCAAACACATTTCTGTAGGATCACCAACAACGGCAGCGATGGGAAATATTTTCATATCGAAAGTCCACGAAATTCTCTACAGATAAAGAAAAATAAATTTTTAAATTATGAAGCACAACAATCGTACAAGATCGTGATAAAATGTGAAGATAGCGGATTTCCACCATTGAGTATAACTCGTGAATTTACTATCAATGTTACAGGTACGATAATTATTTTAGGATGATATATTTCAACATACGGGAACTGATGAATATTTTATAAGATGGATGCTGACATGATTCACGAATCCCTGCATTGTCCTAGCAAACCCCCTCCGACCTTATACTCTTTGAATTACTAGATTATTATTAGTTTCTTTGAAAATTAATTCCATTCATTGTTTCTAATTATTTAACAAAAAAATATTTGCATTATATGAGAAAAACACGAGCTACCTTTGCTACTGGGCTTGTTTGAAAATTCTTGTATAATCAAAAGTACCATCACAGTTGGATACTTAAGGCAATCCTTTCTTCTCTTGTCATAATAACATAAGCTTTAATTTAGCTGAATACCCCAAAAAATCCACAGTCATGCACATGTAAAAATTTAAAAGCAACAAGAGTAACTATAAAAGCATTTTCCCTTCATTATAGACATGGATGAACCCATTGAGAATCTCACTCTTTCAAATAACAGAGTTTTGGAGAATTCAGATGTTGGTGCAGTTATAGGAATCTTAGCCGCCCATGATCCCGACGCACACGACGATACATCAATAGCATTCGCTATAATTCACCCTACGTATTCACCATTTTTCCTTAGAGGAAAAAACAATGAAATTTTGGTCGTCAACGAATCTTTGAATTATGAAGAAAACTCTGATTACGTCATTACAATAGGAGTGACCGATTCTCAAGATAGATATTTTCAATCACCTTTTGTCATCCACATTATTGGTAGGTCATGTGATTATTTTGTTAATTCGTCATGTAAGACACGGCATTCTGATGATTTTTATACCGCCAGCACAAAGTACCTGACCATGATGATAAGGGCAAGCATTTAAAATTATAGGTTGTAAATTGTTCATTTTGTTGTCTTTCAGCAATTCTTATCAAAATTTGTTTTAACGTGTCCAGAAAGAAATCAATAAAACACACGAAAGTTTTTTGTTAAGTGAAACCATGAAATATAATTAACCCAAATTTAATAATGGATAAAAAATCATCCATAATTACAGAGTTAATAATTATTGGTAGAATCAAATTTTTTAAATCATTTATAAAGACTACAATTTATCCCTGAATGTCAAAGCTAAAAAATTTCTGTTTTCATACTCAGATGTGCCAGAAACGCCAACAGACATTATTATGGACAGACATTTCATGAAAGAGAATTTAGAGACTGGTTCGCCCATCAGCAACATAACGATGATCGATGAAGACAGCAACACGATTACGACGTGTATTTTGGTAAAAGATGGCGATGGCAGGATCGCAGTGAATCGGACATATTTAGTCGCAGGAAACGTGAATACAGATTATGAAGAAGATGCAACACATATGATCGAAATTACGGTCAAATGTTGTGATCAAGACAAACTTTGCTTGACAAAAGATTTCAATATATCAATTCGAGGTATAAAAGTCAATTTCATTTTGCTGTTAGCGAAATTCGTAAAATTTGTTACTAATACTTTCTGTCACGTAGATTAACGCATAGATTGGAGATTGCAAGTAAAATCAGTGAGCATTGTGCTTTTTCTAAATGAGTAATAAAGATGCAATTGACTTCCTACGGTAACATGAGGACACATTTAACAGCGCACATATCTAGTCTATAAACATAGCTATTAATTTTAAACACAACGATTTTTATGATCCAGACATTTTTTGATCAACGGCTTTAAAACAGTAAAACACGACTTGAAGGACGTCATCATGTCAATATATAAAATAATAACAATAAAATTCTTGCACTGATTGGTCTACAGCTGAGTTTGGATTAGCCTGTTGAAATCAATCTAAGCTCAATCAAGTAAATCAATCAAAGAGAATTTGAAGATCAATCATGAATGCATGTTGTGAAAGAAGTAAAAGATGTTTTTCGTGGCTTATGCAAGCCTTGGAGACGTACGTTTGTGAAAACTCTCGACCTTTTTTCTCGGGCTTGCACTGAACTGCTCTCGAGTTCTCCCAAAGGTCTCTTCAGTTTGCGCAAGCCTGTGCAAACACAGTAAACATCTTTTATTTCTCAAATACTTAATTCTTGAAGTCTTCAGTCAATTTTGTGAGAAATGGAATTTGACAGATGTATAAAAGACCAACTTCAAGAGAAGTTATATTTTTTTACAGATGTGAATGAACCACCCAAAGATATAATCATCACAAGCAACTTAAGAGTTCCAGAAGAGAAGAAAAACGTCACAATAGGTCAGATAACAACGGTAGATGCCGACATCAATCCACAATACAATTGTATTGTAATTTCTAGTGTTGAGGAGGCATTGTCTATCGATAACGATAACCAAACGCTACGTTTGAAGAAAAAACTAAACTTTGAAAAGAATTCATTTGTCTTATTTGAAATCACGTGCACCAACAGAGACTCCATGCCGTACACTAAACAATTCACGTTAAACGTCACGGATGTAAATGAAACACCAAAATCCGGATGTTTGAAACACATCATTGTTTCGAATAACCATTCTTATGGAAGTGTTCTAGCTAGTTTGAATGTTACTGATCCCGATAATGAATATCCAAAAGATATTTGCAAACCCAAGCAGCGTTTAACATATAGAGAAATCTCTGAAAGCCCGTTACCATTTGAAATAATTGATGGATATTTAGTTAAAACAGGAGAACTTGAGAAAAACAGAACTTATGTTTTGTGGATTTCCGTTTATGATGACGGCGTTTTGTTAAATTCATCTTCATCTTTGATCATGTCGGAAAGGAAAGAAATTAAGTTTAATTGTACCATAACTTGTCAAGACGCAAGTGACGAGATGATTACTTTATCATCAAATGAAATCAAAGAAGGAGCGCTCAATTATACCATCGTCGGATATTTATACATGGGACATACGCATGCGCTCAACACAACATTCAAGTTGATAAAGAACAAGTGTGATGCAAGTCCCTTCTATATAAATACCAATCAGCTGAGGTTGCGTTTGCCATGGAAAAGGAAGATTTCATTTGAGGATACGCAGACTGTGCCGAAATATTTTCACATCAAAATACGAGAGAAAGGATCTCAACGAGAAGAAATGTTTATCATATTTGTGAAAGGTAAAACTGAAGCATGCCCATACGTTACATTAACGCTTTTACACACCAACATCTTTATAACATCAAGCTTTAATCTTTAAAACATCTACACATTACATTGATACATTTCCAAACATCAATATTTTCACGTGCTACATTAACATGTTCACACATCATGGGTGCATTTGGCGTTAATCTTAACAGCATTCATCTTCATAACATGTTCACACATTACACCAACATTTTTCCACGTAACACCAACATCTTCACACGTTACATTAACTTCTACACACGTTTATACCTTATACAGCTCAAAAATTGGAGATTTCATTTCACAGTAGTAATGACTATTCCTCGTTTTTTCTTTCTAACGTTTTACTTTATAACTAAATACTTTACTTCATTCTTAGACTGAAGATGACTTAACATAAGTCGATCGAAACATGTTTAAAATAAGAAGTTTTGTCGTTTATTTTAAATGCTTAAGTTTTCAATAGCATTGTAACTTTTTATAATGTACCTGCTTTAAAATCTTCAAAATTTGTAACAACATTTACACGTTACATTGACATGTTAACATTTATATCTTTTACACAGTTCAAGGACACTCGGGCACTATATATTTATTCAATACCACCAAAACACTTCACCAACATCTTTACATCGGAGTTTACGTGATTATCATTCCTATTATATCTGTAAATCTATGTATTCTCATTATTTTAAGAGAATAAAGACAAAAGATATGGCATATGTCCAACAAAAGTAGAAATTGAAATATCAAAGACTATCAACAGACGCTTTAAGCTTGTCGCCATTCAAAATATCAATGGATCACTAGAGAAATGTAACAACAATAGCAACAATAGTCGCACGTTATCCTACCAATGTACAACAAAACTCAACTTAAAAAAAAGCTCAAAGATTTTTGGCGAGGTTTCACTAAATCATACAATCACAGTTGACAAAGATTTGTTCATGACTATAAACATCAAAACAGAGAAGCAACTAAATGTAAAGGATTATGCTTTCATTGATATCATCTGCTCCGAGCCAAAGAGATTTATTTCATACGTGAAAGGATCCGTCAGAGTGTCTTACATTCAACACCAACAATGTGAAATCCATCGTCTTAAAACAGAGGAGAGCCTGTGTGTGGAGAAAGCTTGCCCAGAGGACAGCATTTGTTCAAAGCTTGAGAATGCTGAAAAAAGATGCGTGCCTAACGAAATGCAACTATATATAGTTGTGTTATCAATGAAAGAGAATTCCAGAAAGCTTTGTAAGCTCAAGCGCTGTCTTCAACAAATCCTCGATGATACCAAATCAGAATGTTTATCAACGTGGAGTGGTAAGTTGTTTTAATAACGCATTTCTTTTGTATAACCGGAATCATTTTATTTGTTCCCACGTGCACACAGACAAATGTTACGCAACTTGATTAAATTTTATTATTTAAACAACATGATGCGTTTCATTTTTTTACTCAGTTTGTTTACACGTTGTTGTAATGTACTCAGGTATTGTAACAAGATAATCATTGTCTTCAATCTTCTATTAAATGAACCACGAGTTATACAACACAGTTCTAGATTCTTTCTTATCTTAATATCATAAATAGTGATATCAAGTTATCTTAGCCTCTTCGAATTCTTAAAATGATTCATAATGTAATTCAAATTTTTAACGATTTTCTATAGCTGAACGTCGTGAAAAACGCGAAGTGCGTACCCGTATGTACCTAAATATTCTAAGCACAACCAAGATTAAAGATGAGAATGTCTTACTTAAAGCAGCCATTTGGGAAAAGGACGTAAATAACAAACTTATATTAGTTTCACCAGACCGTCTTCCAAAGTTCCCGGATATTGATGACGTCATGCTCATAACACCGAAAGAATGTGACCTTTTGAAAAACTTTGGTATAAAATGTCCAATCAGCAATTTGACAAATAGCTCCATGGGGAAAAGATCAAAAATCTCATTGCATTCAATAAAAATCAGAGTAATAGTTGGTTTGGTTTGTTCCATACTACTTGTTAGTGTTGTGATTGCCGTCTTTTACTGCCTTTATAAGCGACGTTTGTTTAAACAACGTATACAAAAGAAAAAGGTATGGACAAGAAATTTCCATGATTTATATATTTATATAAAGATTACAATTACATCAATTACATAAAAATCAATACGATTGAAATGAAGTCAACTGTATATTAATTTTACAGCTAAATAATTGAATAAATGTGTAATTTATCTATAATGCAGTAAAACGCTCATTGATATAAAATTTTTAATAAACAAGCTTTCGATTGTCTGTCTACAGCCTTCGACGGGTTAAAAATTTTATATCAGTGAACGTTTTACTGCATTATGTATAATCCTGATTTCGGATTACGCATTTTTCTATATGTAATTTATCATTTATATAATTTATTAATCATTTTATTCATTTTTAATAATTACTAATTATATCATATGATTAATTGATTATTTTAATTTATATAGTTGTTATCTGGTTCATACAAATACGGCTAGCATAACGTTTACTCCTCACTTGACTATGACGATGACTACCGCTTAGGTTGTCAAAACTTCAGTCAACATCAACAACAAAAACAGTCCTTCTCAGGACTATACTAACCTGGACGATCTTCATCCACAAACATGTAACGATAATCCTGGGTTTAAATCACTTACTTTGTTAATTTATATAACTATAGTTGTATATCCACTGTAAAAACTGATTGGTTAAAATAGACAAAAATTGGTTACCTCAGATGCATTTAACCACTTTAACCAATATTTTTATGTTTACTTTAATCAATCATATGGTTTAAACAATCAGTTTTTACAGTGTCTGGTTTTCTCCAATTTAAACAACTAACTTTTATTGAAACTTGATTTAGGTGAATCAAAATCAATCTGCGCACCACTTCTCTAATGCAGGATTTGATGGCTTACCACTGAACCAGTTTCCTGTTATTGTACAAGAATCAACCACAGATGATATGACGGTAAAGATAGAAGACCTTAACTTTTATTTTAATGCCTGAATTTCGTATATAAGTAAGGAAAATAAGGCCTAACTACTGTTAATTCAAACTAATTTTTTATTCAACTGAGTTAACTACGTGGATAAATCAAACTCTAACAGGAAAAACACAACTGTTAACAACAAAATGTTTTGTTGAAAAGTGATTAAGGGATTTATATAACCACCTCCAGATCTCTGCGAGCTATTAGAAGCAATAATCTTGCATACTGATTATTTTCAATATATAACTAATTCAAACAGAAATTTTTCTCAAAGTGCATGTACTCAACCATACAGACCAACGAAAGAACAACTTCTCTTCACTTTATTTGATATAGACGAAGGATTGCAGTGTTAACAATCCACTCAACAATAATACAGTTGATGTTGAGAAAATTAAAAACGAAGGAGATGACAGCCATTTGTATCAAGAAACACAAAACAATCCTTCATTCGGAAAATATGAAACACCAGATTTTCCGAGACCAAAATCAAGAAAAGTTTACAACCCCACAGGTAGAGGTTGCACAAAATGTTAAGCAAATATTGAACTTTACAGTTTAAAGTTAGACATAACACAAACGATCAACATCGTAGTTGGTGCATATGGTGTGATCAATTTAGTCAATGTAGAAGAAATTTTTTGTTTGTTAAGCTTTTGAATTGACATAAGTTGACAGTGTTGTAGACAATATGCTACAGCATAATTTACTCTTAAAAATGTTACCAAGGAAAAAGTTCACATATGGTTGTTTACAAATTGTTGTTTACACTTAGCTGTTTACAAATAGTTGTTTACACATAGCTGTTTACACATAGTTGTTTACACATAGTTGTTTACAAATAGTTTTTTACACATAGTTGTTTACACATAGTTGTTTGCACATTCTCGAAAAGAGACTTGCACGCTCACTAGAAATTTCCGACTGCATGTCGTGTAACAGTATAGTTAGCAAAAATTTGTCAAGTTGTCGAATGGTTTCTGTCATAATTTCTAATCTCCGGAAGTTAATCTGTATTTTATTTGGTTCAGGAGTAGGTAATTCTTTACTATAAGATACTTTTTAAAAAATATGGTGGCCAGTTAAATCATTCACCTAAACGGTATCCATGTAAACATGTGCGTTCACTGAGACAGAGTAACAATTTGAAATAATCTGTTCAAAGAAAGTAAAACATCTCGTCTTATAATGTTGTTCAATATATTTTTCTCAAACCAGACAACGTTTTATTTACACGAGTTTTAACTCAAAAACACACTTTCCAATATTAGCTGACAGATTTTATTGCCATATTTAAAACAAACGTTTACAATATTTAAAACACGTGTTTGCTTTATTTTAGGTTGTTTCTAATCCATTTTATGAAGCAAATGATATCATACAAGTCCAAAATACTAATGAATATATGAATGCAAGCGATACAAGTATGTAACCAGAAATAGAATCTATGTATATTAAATCAATAGGATTTACTATTTAAACGAAAAAATCGTTTAAATTGACCTACTAATGGTAATCAAATGCATGCATGCTGTTTTATTTTAGACTTTCGTTATTCAAATAAAAATGGAACAAGAAATGATGGTTATTATGAAACCATTTCAAACCAAAAGAAGAGATGGCTTAATTTTTCCAAGTATAAGAACTCAAAGAAGAATAAAAACATTCACAAGAACACAAACCGACAAAAAACAGAGAGCGATGTTGGTTCAAAAGATAATGGAAGGTCTAACGATGCCAGGTATGAATCACTACCTTTACCAAATGAAAGACAAATTAATGAATGGAAAATGAGGATACAACAGGGGATACTGAATGATAGCTTTCAACCACAAGAGACAATTAAAGGATCAACGCAGACTCTCAGATCAAATTTATTGAACCCACGGGAAAGGTCAAAACAAGATGAGCAAGCTAACAAATACCCATTTTACGAGGAGGTAGCACCACCTGTGAAGAATCGTAAAGATTCAAAGAAATCGCATAATGCAAATGACAGTGAGTCTTCATCTCCTTATTACCATGAACTTGAACAGACAAAAATTGAAAGTGATCAAAAGGACAAGACAATCGATGATGGCCCTGAATACTTTGTGCTGGAAAAGGTTTGATGAGACATCCTTTGATATTTTTTAGTAAGAACATCTTGTTAAGGCTTTCTTTTCCGATAACAACAACAAGATTTTTACTGAAGTTATCTTGAAGAAAGGATAAGAAAAAATAAATTCATGAACCATTATCTCTTTCAATGTACGCTTCATGATTTTGTACCTCTACACAGTTAATATTTCCATGCTCATTCAATTGATGAACAATGAATTAAACTATAGAAATAAATAATAATTTTCATGAAAAATCGACATTGTATGGGAAAACCGTCTGGGGAGGCTTGGCCATTGTCTGCAAGCATTGAAAGTTAAAGTAACTCGAAAGTCTCGCGATTTTACAGTTTTCTTCTTTCTTGCTTCAAGCAAAAGTGATTTACGATACAATTGACAAATAAAACCTCAGAATACTCTTTACATTTCGACTTAAATGGCCCAAATACCCACGCGTTTAATACAAGCACGCGTTCACTGATCAAAATACGGGAATGTTTAAAACCATTAAAGTCTAGTTTTCACTAGTGACATAAACACAAGCAAAAAAAAACAAAGCAAAGCATATTCTCCAGTGGTTAGAGAAAAAAAAAGAAAAGAGATCTTCTTTTCAATTTGTTTTTGTTTTACCTTATGTCAAGTTGCTGTTCTTATGCTTATGCTGATTCTTGTGTCAGTCACTTCATTGTCTTCTTTTGTATTTTCTATTTCTCCTTATGCTTATGTCGAGAGTGAAAACTACGCTTAAATGGCTTACCTCTTTCAAAAACAGACGCCTGGACTTCTTCATCTATCTTTGAAATAGATCTATGTGATTTTAAACGATACTTTTTCTATCTACAGATTGATTCTACGAGCAAAGTCAGCAAATATTATCAATCGCTGCACAGAGAACTAGAAGGGCCACTTCCCGCGTATGAACCGTACAGACCACCTGAGACATCGGACAAGTCGGAATCAGGCGATCAGCTAGAGAACGATAATGACGTGAAGACATAGAGTGTGAAACACCGATATTTTCTGTTTCTATCATTATCTTTGGCTTCAAGAATTGATTACTCTATACTGGGTGTATAAAATAACTCCGATCATTTAAAATCACTTGAGAACAGTATGGTGAATATACAGAGAGCCACTCATTGGAGCCTATCCATTGAATTTTTTGGTGACCCGCATATTTTAGTACGCATGTGATTACCATAGTGGCAGCCAATCAATTGCTTTTTTTTGACCAATACGAAAAATTAAATGGCAAACGGCAGCCATTAATCTTATTAAATATACAGCAGCCAGTTGCACACAACTCTAATTGCGACTCGATATATAGTCCCTGTATTGCGACTCGAGTTTAGAATTTCCATGATTCTGCAGTAATTAATCTCCAAAGAAATCATTTTCATTCTTGAGATTTGCAAAGTGTGGTAGCCGCATTTAAGTCGTATGTTTTGTGAGTATTTTTGTCTTTTAGACAGAATGTAAACTGTGCGAGTTTCATTGTCAAAATTTAGCGCAATAAATGCTCGTATTTCTGCATTCATTTAAAGCATTTGTGAGCGAAATGATTGTTAAACTACCTTGTAGAGTATTCACTGCGTTGTTTTAATTTACTCAACGTAGGAAAGAAGAACGTACTTTTCAATCCCACGAGTATAAAAAGTGTCCCTAGCATTGTACCATGATAACTGCCGTGGCTGTTTTGCGATTTATAAGATTGCTGTTTTTTTATACATCCTATAGAAATAGCTGGTTTTATGCAGTTGTTTTTGAATAAGATGATACTCCGACTGTTACTTAGCATTTTTACGTTTATAATTCATAATTTTTTACATTTTAGCATAGTTTTCAATGTTTTTTAAGCGACGATATTCATACCATAAACCAACGTAGTTATCAATCAATGTATTTTTTCTTCATGCACGTTTTAAAAATAAACAATTTAAGTGAGAAAGCTAGATGAAATCAAACTTTTCGATGCTGTAAACTTCCGACCAAAAGCCTAAAAATAACCTTTCTTCAGCAGTTTTTAAATGTTTCATACAAGGAGTTGATGATTTACGTATATGAGCCTGGTATCTTATGGTCAGAGGCTTACAGTATCTTATTCATTGGCTATATATTTAATTGATATTGTCAAGATAACAATGTAGTGATGTCGCTTGTTATAGTATCCATCTTTTTCCGCGCCTAGAATAATCACCATTAATTTCGTAATTAATTTTATAAAAACGATAAGAAAAATAATTAAAATTATTTATAATTATTTATGTAAGAAGTGAGTTATACCTTCTACAGTTGTAACGATCATTCACTTGCTCTCTGTCAGAAACGCTAATATACTGATTCAATATCAAAGGGTTCTGTCAAAAAATAAGCGCAGTATTTTTAAACACATGTAGTTTTTGACGCGTAGCTATAGAAGATTAAATTACATACAGTGTGATTCAATAACAAAGTGCATAATAAAACTCAAGTTTAATAAGAAATAAATTTCTTGACTTTGCGACAAATTTTGCTATAAACTACAGCGTTAAAAAGCAGCGTGTTCCCCAATGTACGTCACGTCGGTGAACTAGATCCAGTCCCAGCACCTCACGGTCAAACACGGAGAAACCAACTTTGAGGCTCAAAAGTAAAGGAAGATCGAATTTTCGTCTTATAAAATATATTGCAAATGTTCTTAAAATAGTCAACTCTATCTAAATAGATAATTTCCTGAGGGTGATATAGGCACTTTAACTTGATGAGGAGGGGAGAGGGTCGCATATTCTTATATTTAACATAGAGCAGTAATCATAAGTTGTTTCGAGCTGTACATTTTCCCATTTAATACAAGGATAGATTTTCAACGTTGATTAAGGAATTGATGAAATTTAATTTACAAAATATGCAGTGCGTAGCCAGCCCGCAAGTTTTGGTCCTGCTATGTAAATTTTATATCATTAACATTATTCATTTCTTTATAAATCTGATGTTTTTACAGTGAGTGATCACAAAGCATTAACGTAGCAGGACACCAAATTCGCGTGCTGGCTACGAAACTGAAAATATGCAAGCGAACCCTTGGATCTAAGGACTGGATCGTGTCTTTTCCATTACGGCTGAACATTTTTGGTCCATAATGCATTAAGCTTTTAAGATCGTAGGGATGGCCAAGAGAATTTATCGGATATTTTTTGAATTCCGTTTCGTAGCCTAAATTAGAGCAAATTGTTTATAGATGTTATAGTGGAAGCAGAAAAATTTCTCATATATGTATAGTATATAATACAACATATAATATATAATTAAATATTATGTAAATATGCCATATATATACATATATATATAGGAAATTTATATGTGATGATTCTCCGTATAAAACAGTGCTCGATGCCCGAGAGCAGAGCGTAAATTTGATTCATCCGGGATACAGGGATGAATTTGTAGTTTCGTGATTTTTTCACCATCACTACATATACATATATACATGATATACCTATATATGCCAGATATATACCTATTTATACATGATATACCTGTATATACCTGGTATTATATTATCCCAAAGAATTTTGACATGATCATCTCGATCAGGTCGTGAATGTTCATGGTAAAATCCAATAACGTGACCTTAAAAATATTGGTGAACAAAAGACCGCGTGAAAAAACGTTACACTAGGGCGTTTATTCGAGGTGGGCGCTTATTCAACGTCAATGGCCGTATTCGATGAATACGCTACAACTATTATGAAAAACTCAATACTTTATCGACTGCATTTGCAATGATTACTTTTGTAAAAACTGAATGATTTACAATTTTCATTATGAAATAAAATCTCGTATGTGTATAACATGATTTTCGTTTTCTCTTCCTCTCAGTTGTTTCACGTTGTCCAACTTTAAAAGCGATAATTCTTTCGAGACTCGCAGAGAATAAGATAAGTTTTGGGAGCAATTAACGTTGAAGACCTTACCAAGTTCATGAAGAATGATGAGTCGCCAAAAACATCCGGGAGCTAGGTTAACCAAGTGAGGAGACGGAACAGGTCTTCTTGGTCTTTTATAACCAACTTTGGTGTAACACCTTGTAATGAAAGAATAAAAATTTTTATAAAAATGGCAATAATTTCCATTGACATCATACACAAACAAACCCAAAGTTGTTTTTGGTGCGTATGTCTAAGTAAACCAATCCATGTTTAGATTTATCATAAGGAACGAAGGAGAGACAAGTCCCATTCTCCCATTCTCTCATTGAGCTTTCAATCAAACTTTTATAACCTATATAATCAACAAATGATTCCATCATAAGGAGGAATTCATTACTTGACAACAGCAATGAAAATTTTTTTTATAACTGGTTCCTAAAAACTTACATTCAAAATTTCATTTGTGTATTCGGGTAAAATAACAAAATAATAATTATATTTATTCAAATAAGCCATCACAAAAAGTTGATGATGTAATGAACAATATTCAACAACACTAAGTATTAACACAACATACTTGAAAGAGCAGGATGAATGACGTATGGAATAATTCCGTTTGGCCAAATTGAACCCAGCGTCAAGCCCCGTCTCCTATTGGTCAGTTGTGTGGAAAAATCTGAACCAATCACAACCTTTCCGTTTACTCGAGGTTCTACCAATATATCTCCTTCGATGAGCTTTGATATAATAGTTTGCTTCAAATCGATGTTTTCTGAACAAAAACAATGTATCGAAATAAAACAAGCTGAAAATGAGAACAAGCTTGGTATCTATTGTCAGACTATCGTTTTAGTCTTTCCAAGTAAACTTTCACAACGACATTATCACTAGCAGGCCATTCAGCTAGCTTTTTGCCATTTTTGTCAGTTGTCATTAAATTAAAAATTGATCCTTTCCCGTGATATTTCGTCGCATAGCGTTGCGCTGTTCAGTCTAAATTTATATTTGTGATTTATTTAATAGTTATTTGCAAACTTAAAGTTTTGTACGAACTGATTGCTATGTGATGAGGAGCGAAAGACAACATGTGTACATTATATGTATAATAATGTGTGCCCTGATTGGTCTATAGCTGAGTTTGCATTAGCCTGTGCAAACTGATCTGAGCTCAACAATTAAATAATTTAAAGAGAATTTGCAAACTAATTGTGAATTCATTTTAGAGGAAAAATTTAAAACGTTTGTTTTAATTTTATCTTTTTCGCAGTTTTGCCATTCTTTAAAAAAATAGAAGATGTTTTTCGTGACACCTCTCAAGCAGGATGTACAGTTTTCATCACTACAAGTAGTCCTTTATAGTTTTTTTGTCGTGTGTATTTGCTAGTAAATGGAGCCAATGAACAATAAATCGCTGACAAAAGTTTGCTCAATAAGTATAGCAATCATAATTTAAGTGAAAATCTTAATAACTTTTATTTTTAAGAGGAAAACTTTTTACTACAAATGTAACGCTATAGCAAATACGTGGAAGAGCAAAAAAGAAATTTCATAACGAAGTAAAAGCAAATCGAGAGAATTCCGGGGTTGTATTGAATTGTAAAAATTACCCTTGACAATTTCTTGGTGCGTTGTGCGAGGAATATAGCACTACTATTGTTCTTCATTGTAAAACTGCGCATGACCATAATGAAACAATAACATACCTACAGGATAGCCATGAAATTCAGTTGCAAGTTTTCCATCACAAAGTATGATAAAACACAAAGTCAGAAGAATTGCTGTCGAGTATTTCATTGTATACAAACTAGTAAAGTTTATCAGTAGAAGTGTCTGCTTTCGGTGTCCTAACTGCTACTGATTGTGGATTTCTTATGCAACTAATAATCATAATGATTATGTCGAATAATATTTGTTTAGCCCACTATCATCATTAAAAATGAGATGCCTGAGAAAACAAAGTATAATTAGCCACACAAAAAAAAATCAACAATGCTATATTGAACTAATTTACAATGATATGTTGTTTGGACGAGTGTCTATTTTGAGGTTGAAACTTATGTTGCAAATATTTAATTTTGTTGATATTTTTAGCGACTAAATTTTGTACAGTGAATAACAGTGATTACTAACATCTTAGAAAACGATAATTTATTGGAGCGTTCGCCTTAAAATAATTAAGTGTCTCCATATTAGTTCAAAACATTCTACTGCAACGTTAGCCAAAGACAGTATAGAAATGTTATAAAATGAATATCAGACTTCTTTTATCTAATGTTTAACTCTTTTCCTTAAGCTCGCGCTTGTGTCAATGTTTATATCACATGCTTTGTAGATTGTCTTTGTTTGATCTTTTGTCTTTTCTTGTGAGTGCTTATGCTTATTTTATTCGTGTGAACTAGACATAAAAAACTTATGTCTTGTGTGTTTGTCAAATTATGTTTCCATGGTAAGATTCAATAATCTTTATGCTAGTTTTTGATGCAAAAAAGATTTTGACGATAAAGTGATCGAAATGTTAAATGTTGGTTGAAGTTTATAAAGCATCGACAATGGCAACAAATCAAGAGTATCTCTTTAATGCTTTTATGGCCTTGTTAAAGTCGCGTACGTCGTTTCGCATTTCATCTATTATAAATAAACACGTTCATTCTGGGATACTATTTCAGTATCCCTCATCACTGTATTTGAGGGAAATATTTCAGTAAACGTCATTGTGAGAACAATAGTTCCTAAGGGATATTTACTTCTTACATAAAATAAATAAAAACTGTTTGATGTTCATGTGCATGATGTGCATGAAGAAATTCCTCCTTTCTCTTCTCTCCTTTACTATGGTCATTCATGTAGTGATAGCATATTATATACCTTTCTTCTTTCTAATTTAAACATTTGTTATTTTTACATAATGATAACTGTCATCATAGTGGGAGAAAATAGTTAAACATGTGGGTGTTTAACACTCGAAAAGTACTGTTATACCTTGTGAAATGATTGTGCTTTAAAATTTTGCAGCTGCTCCAATCTCGTCGATACAAATATTGCTTTCGCCATTTTAATCATTAAATAGTTCGTTTGGTTTTCTATGCAATGCTGTCCTGAAAATCAAATAAAATGGATCTAAACATCCCAAAATGAGTATTACGCTCTTCATAACATAATGCTCATCAGTGCATGTGACTGTTTGAAATAGACAGTGATGAATTGAACAACAGAGAACAAGATTTACACTGCATGAAATATTTAAGAAATAAGATAACGTGTGCCAGTGTAGGTAATGATGAATGAACAACAGAGAACGAGAACACCTTTACACTACATAAAATGTATAAGAAATAAGATAACGTATGTCAGTGTAGGTAGTGATGAATGAATTTTGTCTCTCTCTATTTGAAAATGTTAAAATACGGGTACACTTGTTAACTCTCTACGTTGATTTTGTTTCACTCATTTTAACTTTTCTCTTTATTTAACTTATACTAGCTATAAATATGTTATAAAAAATGCGTGACCGATTTAAGTATTATACATAATACATAAATATTATATCAGTGAACGTTTGACCGCATTATATAAATATGTTGTTTATTTTAAATCGCATA